TGGCGTGTAAACTACATCGGGCTTGAGATATATTGAATGGTGCGCTACAACCAATCCTTAAATCTACAGTAGTTGATACTTTCACAGTTTCTATGTAGTGGAGTCGTCTAAATCTTGACTTCAAGAGAGCAAAAGCTCTCTCTATTACGACACGATTACTTGACTGGTAAAAATTGTACTTTTTTGTTGTGGAGATAAATGCCCATTATTACGAAACGGCGTCATTAGCCATTTACGAAGAGGATAAGCTCCATCTCCATGTATGTGATATTCCATATTGCACTTTGACAAGCCTGTATCCCACAGATCCGAATTCCTCAACACTCTGGCATCATGCACACTTCCAGGGTACCCTGTAAACACATCGGTGAACACCATATCATGTTTACAAACACACTGAAGTTGAATAGAGTGATATTGTTTCCTGTTAACATACCTCTGTGGGTTTGTATGTGGAGCCCTTATCCGTATATGTGTGCCATCTACTGCACCAACAATTCCTGGGAACCCATTTCGTGTTTTGAACTCCCGTTCCTCCTCTTGATCATTTGGCCTGATATACAGCAATAGCATTTTATCACAAAGTTTCAGTATTGCTGAAAGAATCTTATCTCTACATACTACCGTCGTTGACTCTGACATACCAAAGCGATCTGCTATTTTCCTAATGGAATCCGTTCCTCCAACATACCAAAGAGTTACTAAAAGTTGTTTTTCTATGCATATGGGATCCCTTCGTCCCGGCCCTGCAGGTTGCAGCTCTGGAAACTCTTTAATGTGTTGCAAAAGTGTAAAAAGTGTAAAAGAGTATCTCGGTTCATGCGAAACATCCTTTTAAAATCATCGTCTGTATAGTTGGGTACCACTTCTTCTACATAGTTACGAATTCGTGACTTTTCATCGCCTTCCCTGAAAGAAAATAAAAACATGAATATTTACATTTTAATCATATAACTTCAAGTAATAGACCATATCTGAGTTTCATTCCTTTTGTAAAAAATACAATACAGGCAAAGAAAACCCACAGTGATGTAATTTGACGTTACAAAATTTTATCCATAAAAACTTATGTTTCATAGGCCAATAACCGTGGTATAATTGAAATTGTTTATAATTTATAACAAACCATAATATAATCATGCCATGACCATATTTGAAAATATATTCCATAATCTACAACATAACCTGTATCTAATTCCAAAATTATTAAATTAATATATATTTAAACTTCATGGGATCCCAACATTTTCATTTCGTCCGTGTGTTGCTCACAGGAATTTGTTACAGACGATCGTGTGTTTGAATAACTTATGAAGGCTATGGTCGTCCCACGCACCATCAATATTAATTATTCAAATATTGTTTTGTAGAGAATATTATCACTTACGACTCTAATGGTTATCACACTTACATAACACTTGCAATTGACGCTAAGAACAATGCAGGAATATCGTCCACGATCACTTCGGTATCGTCTTCATCATCCAAAACAACAGCGGCTAAACCGGCAATTGCCCCCATCGACATCGAAGCCGCCATATTGAATTGACCATTTCCTGTTCTGGTGCGTTCAAAACGCACTGTTCTATGGAACAGCCAGAACATGTTGGGGACAGCCGTTACGAACACACCCCAAGGCATCCATGTAGTAAGCTTGACTCGGTTACCTGGCCTTGTGACTTTTGGGTCAGTTAAGTTAGACATTCTGTAAGACATTGTATGGTGTAAGTTCATTAAAAAATTGAAGAACTTCATAAAAAGAACAGCCAATTTAATATGTATGTATTTACGTCCCCTACAAGGGCTCTGCCCATAACAAAGTATTGCAAGCAATCCAATGTCCCCAATTTGTTAACAGAACTAGGGTATAAGATTGAACTCCAACGATGTGTAATTTTGGAGTTTTGTTTTGAGATGCAGATTATACTTACTTGTACTGGAGCTCCTCTCTGGGTACTGGAACTTTTTAAAATCTAACTTAACATAAAGAGAAATAAACATGTTGATGAAATTTGAAGTTAAACACACTGAAT